GCTCCCCGGTGGGACCTCCTGGCGTCCAGCACTGCCACTCTCTTCCCGGCTCACTGGGCACTGACCGTGGCCAGTCCGCCTAAGGGGGGGCTCTGCGGGAGGGCTGCAGGCCAGGGGGTCCTGGCGGGATGGAGATGGGGTCACTCTGTCCACCAAAACCCGGGGCTGCAGTTCTCAAGACTGGCCAGGGAGGGCTGCCCTGCCGCCCTCCCTGGCGTCCCAGGGCGGGCTGCCTGTCCATCTTTGCTGCCTTCAGGCCCCCGCTGGGCCCAGGCCCTCTGGGAAGGGCGCTGTTGGCCAGCTTGCACCATCCCTCCTTGTCCCTTGGGGCTTCAAGGACTGTGAGTGCCCATCTGACGGCGCTCGGTCCCCTTGGGGGTCTCCCCACCGCATCCACACTGCAGGGTCAGGTCATCAGGGGCTGGCCTCTGCTGCTCCCCATGGGGAAGCCTCTCTGGCAGCAGCACCGGAGGAGGGCCCGGAGCCCCGCACCCGGAGTACAGCCTCCCACAGTGTCCCGCCCCCGCACCCAGGGCCGCCCCTGCCTGCTCCAGGGACACGTTCGTGAGAGGCGGGTCCCCAGGCCGGCTACGCCCAGGGCTCCAGCGTGGACGCTACCTCCTTCCCGCCCGCCTCCCTGCCACAGGCCCCTAGGCCGCCCTGGCCCCTTCCTGGACAGCAGTGCTGGCGGTGTGGGCAGCTACTCCCAGAGGGCCACAACAAGTGCCCACCCCCACCAGCGGACTGTGCCTGCCCACGTTTCAGTGACGGACATGGACACAGGAGGGGTGCTGGGTGGAGAGGGCCCCTGCTGCCGAGGCCAGGGCAGGCGTCCAGGGTTTACCTGGAACCGGCAGGGACCCACAGGCAGAAACAGCCCCACCACAGGGGCCCCATGCCTGCGTCAGGATGCAGGCTGCGGCTGGACGAGGGGTGCCGGCTGCGACGGACTGACGGACCACGGCAGTGGAGATCCCAGAACAGCCTCTCTGTGGGCTGCTGATGTAGACAGGCCCAGGCGGCTGGAAGGACAGTCCTGCCACAGTGGGGGGGCACCCGGACACCCACCAGCACACAGCGACCCGTCTCAGTTACCTCGAAATAGACCAAAGACCTGAACCTCCTGGACTCCACCCTGTGCCCCCACAACTGCGGACTTGGCAAAGGGCTCTGAGCCAGCCCCAGGCGGGTCAGCGGAAGGGAGAGGGCCCATAGCAGCTCACCAAAAGTGGGGGTCCTGCCGCTCCGGGGGCATCGGGAGGCAGCCCACAGGCGCACGTGAGGTCAGGCTTGCCACAGGCCTGTGTCTGAGGGCCCAGACTGAGCAGAGGAGGATCTGTACCCCGTGTGGGAAATGGGGCACGGGTCTGCGTGGATGCTTCCTGGGAAGACGGCGCAGGCCCCCGACAAGCAGGGCAGAAGGTGCAGCCACCGTGGGGTGGAGGTGCATGCTGCGGGGTCCTGAACCCTGGGCGGGATACCCCGGGCCCTCCCTGGACTGGAGTCCACACAGGTGCGCACGGCAGGCCGCCTGTCCCCAAGCACTGACACCCA